AATGTAATAAGCCATTTGGTGAAAGACAAATACCATATGATCTCACCTTTAAGTGGAATCTATTTATCTAAATAAACTAATGAACAAAATAAACCACAGGCGTGGAAACATGGAGCAGACTGAAAGTGACCAGAGGGAATGGGGAAGGAGGACAATGTTGGAAAGAAGGGGAAGGAACTAGACAAAGAACATGTATGAATGACCCAGGGACATGGAGAACAGTGTGGGAATTGACTGTGGGAGAGGGGGGTGGGGTGGGATGGGTGGAGGAGGGCAAAGGGGGAAAAATTGAGACAACTGTAATAGAATATACATGATTTTTAAAAAATAATGAAGGAAAACTTCCCCAATCTGGCAAAAGAAATAGAATTCCAGGAATTGCAGGAAGTCCAGAGTCCCAAAGAAATTAGAGCCAAGGAAGAACACACCAAGACACATAGAAAGTAAATTACCCAAGATTAAAGATAAGGAGAGAATCTTAAAAGCAGCAAGAGAAAAGGAGACAGTTGCCTACAAAGGAGTTCCTGTAAGACTATCAGCTATTTCTCAAAAGAAATCTTACAGGCAAGAAGGGGCTGGCAAGAAGTATTCAAAGTCATGAAAGGCAAGGACCTACATCCAAGATTACTTTACCCAGAAAAGCTATCATTTAGAATGGAAGGGCAGATAAAGTTCTTCCCACATAAGGTAAAGTTAAAGGAGTTCATCATAAGCAGGGCCTTATTACATGAAATGTTAAAGGGACTTATCTAAGAAAAAAGATTAAAAACTATGAACAGTAAAATGACAACAAATTCACAACTATCAACAACTGAACCTAAAAAACAAAACTAAAAATTAGGCAAACAACTAGAAGAGGAACAGAATCACAGAAATGGGGATCACATGGAGGGTTATCACTGGGGAGAGGGACAATGGGGGAACAGGTACAGAGATAAGAAGCATAATTGGTAGGCATGAAATAGACATGGCGAGCTTAAGAATAGTATAGAAATAGAGAAGCCAAAGAACTTCTATGTACCACCCATGCACATGTACTAAGGGGTGGGGATTGATGGAGGGAGGTGGGGTGTAGGGCAGAGGAGGCATAAAGGGGAGAAAAATATTGGGACAACTGTAATAGCATAATCAATAAAATATACTTCAAAAGTAAAGAAAAAAGAACAAAATGATTGAAATAATTAAAATATTTCAAGACAGACATGAAACAATTAGGTTCTGTTCTTTTACATGAAGACAAACAAGAGTCAAACTCATTTAAATAGTTTTTGACCATGAAGCATAGATCAAAATAACAGTGATCAATAGAAGGAAAATGGATCAGATAAAGCAGTGGGAGCATGTCAAAGTGATTGTTCTTCCTTCCATATTCCTATCCGCCTGGAATTGATATTTGTGACTGGTGGCCGAGTGGGCTCAAGGCTCATTATTTTCCTCATGGATCTCCACCCAGTGACCCAGCACCCTTGATCGGAAAGGCCATCATGTCTGAGGCTCTTCGGTGTTCCCTGTCATAAACGGAGTGCCTGTGCATGTGGGGGTCTGTGTCTCAGCTTTGTTCTCTCTCCTATTGGGCTTCCTGGTCCAGCCTACACCAATATCACACACTCTGTTGCAGAAAATAAAAACTAAATTTCTAAAACAAATGGCACAATTAAAATAAGGCAAAAAGAAGAAATGCAATTTAAGCTCAAGTGAAATCAAGGAGAAGCAGGGAGCTGTAAACTCAGGGGGTTGTCTGGTAAAAGGACCAAGGTATAAGGGGCCTGGGGTTCAAGAACCTTTTAAGATTAGGTTTCACACCCCCTGATTTTTAGGTCAGCCTTTTGGGCCAACCTGCTCTTCTTGGGGTCAAGGGCTTGGTCTGGAGTGTGTGGGCCAAGTAAAAACATCTATATTTGTTGGCCTCATTCTTCACCTAGATGAGAGATTTCATGTGACATCTTCTTTCTCTGAGCCCCAGATTTCCTGGGCCTTTCCTCTCTCTGTCTTTGGCCTGTTTCCCCCAAACCTGAGCCCCCAGTACTCTGTCCCTGCTTTGCCTTATGGCCTAGAGAAGCTGCTGACCCGGCAGCAGCCAGGGCAGCTGGGATCTTTAGCAATTGAGAAAAGGGAGTTGGTGGCACAAGAAAATTCTGCTGGGGAGAGGAAGGCTAGGGGTTGTTGCTTTTTAATGGCATGTTAATAATGAAGTTCATGTTACAGGTGATACCAGGGAAGGCCTTTGACTTTATTGCCAATCATTGAATTTTGTTTCTGATGAAGAAAAAAGATGTCAAAATGTGGTTTGGCTGAGCAGAAACAGTACTCATTACAGCCACCTGCTCAACTGTTTGCAGCAAAATTACATGGATGTAGGTGGTTCCATGTGAGTCAGTTGTTAACTCTGTTGTAACTGAAAATGGCAATGAGGTTTATTTTCACACTCAGCTTTTAAAACATGTTCTGTATTTATTATGAATGTCATTACTAAAAACAAATAAGAAGGAACTGAAGTCATAATTCCTCCTTATAAAACTTTTATTAATGCCAGAAATAGTAAAAACACAACAAACTTTTAAAATCAACATGATTGGGGGTACAAAGATGGTATAAATGAGGACTGCGGAAGCCTTGAGGAGAAAGCCAGGTCTGAGGGGAGCCTTCAGTCTCAGCTTGGACCTAAAGGCCACAACCCGGTCGCTCCTTGCTCCGTAGTGTAGTGGTCTGGACACTGACTCCCACAGGCTCACTCCATGCCCTTGCAGCCAGGCCGTGCGCTGGGCCTCAGGGCACATCTCTTCTCAAGAAAAACTAAACTCCCAAGTTCTTGTGGGCTTGTGGCCTTAGGGATTTGTAGGCTTGAGACCCTCAGTACCCCCTTCTGTACTGCACAATTCCTGAAACGGAGGAATTTTCTAACAAAACACGATGGAAAGAAACAAAACAAAAAGAAACTGCAGGAAACAATGTGCATTAATTGCTGCATTGTCCTGCTACGCTGATCCCCCAATCTAGGAAGGAGTAGCCTGCGCAGTGCACAGGCATGCCATGTGCACTTGACTTAGAATCTGGGGTGACTTACTAAAAAAAAAAAACAAAACAAAAAAAAAAACAAAAAAACAAAAAACCCCAAAAAAACAAACAAACAAACAAAAAAAAAAACTCAGAACCTGGTCAAAATCACAACCCTCTATTATACATAGATTATACCCACCAAAAACCAGGATTTGGCCAGCATCCTTTTGACTTACGGTAACTTTTTCAGGAACATATGCTCCTGTCAGTTCAAAAACTACCTGTGCTTTGTATCCCTGAATCATTATGCTTTTGAGTAGCCATCCATTAGCAGTTTTATCAAAGCAGGACATAACTGCATACACCCTCGAAATGAGGGTGAAGTCATCTGTTTTTTTTAAATCCCTAATGAATCACTTCCAAACAAGTCATACCCCTGAAATATATATTGCTTTCTATAGTAAATGTGGCTCTGGAAATGTTTTATACAAACAGATTTTCTCTTCTGTCAATTGAATGACAGTCTACTATCAACATAATTTCAGCTGTATTTTCTTTTCCATTCTATTTTCAACCTGGTGTAGTCCTTCACATTCGGGCATACAAGTTTTCCTGCATCGCCCTGTATCAGGTACTTAGTGGTCTAAACACACAGGTGCCTTACATATGAGGAAGCTCCCCTCTATGCAAACTGGCCGTCTGTAGCTCTAGATTCTTGCCTGAGGCTCTGTGACTCTGCAAGTCACTTAGGGAAGAACGCAGCTCTTTACAGGCTTCAGTCTCCGTGTGTGGTGACATGAAGCTGGCCATGGGCTGAGGGGAACCCTCTTATTGCTCTGTCTGCGCTCACTAAGGACTCCACTCAGTAATTTCCCCCCACCTTGCACCAGGAAGAAAATGATGTTACCAGATCCTGCTGCTTTTAACATCAAAATTACTTCTTTTATGATATGAAAAGCCAAGACTTTGGCATTTACTTACTTTTGGGGCATTGTGAAACCCCAAACCATGCAGCAAAGCCTACAACTGCCCTGAGTAACCCTGACTGTCATAGACCTGCCTGCCTGTTTGATTCATCCTCATATAAAGGACACAGTATCAGTCAAAACATTGGAGCAGTAACTGCTTAATTCCCAGTTGTCCAGATCTGTCTTCTGGCCACAGGTGCTCAGAAGGATCAGGAAGAAGAATCAAGTAAAATCACATGCCCAAGTGAGACTTTCATCTGAGTTCCCTGAACCCCAGGACCCCATAAAGCAGAGGGAACAATTAGCTGGGAAACCTGAGAATGCAACTCATTGGTTTTTGTGGTTTTTTTCTAGTTATAACTCTATCACTAAAAAGCTTGGGTCCAGCATAGGATAGCCAGGGACAATCTGTGTCTTCTTCTCAAGGTGGCGAAAATTCTTTTGCCAGCATTAGCCAGCTCATGGGAAACACACTGCAAGCCGACAGTGCAATCCAAGAATGGATTTCACACTGATTTGTCAGAAGTTATTTCTGATGGTTATTATTGATTATGTCAGAATTTCCCATTTGAACACCATGTAAAGAACCCTGGCTTGACACACATACCTTTCAAGTATAAAAGCACCTATTCAAACTCCTATGAAAAGGAGAGGAAATGATGACCCATCTCATGTCCGCACATGTCACCATAGGTTTCCGAGGTTGACCAAACTGATCGATTTCCTCAAAATCCTCTGAGTCAGTGTAAGATGGTGGAATGAGTCTGCAACAGGCAGCTTGGCCAGCTCTATTTTAAACCTGACTGAGCCTCGGATCCATGAGTGACCTTGGGCAAAGTGAGCCCTCCTCTGGTTCCCAGCTTTCTTTTCTTCAAAGCAGGAACAACAATATCTGCCAACCTAAGCTTCCAAGGTCTTTTAGAGGAAGACAGGATATGGTGAACGTGAAAACATGCTGGAAAAAGGCCAAAAGGAACAGAATACCCATCCACAGGTAGCTGTTCCAAACATTTTGTCCTAAGAGACACTGGTGTCATCTGATATGGTTATGATGAAGCCCAGGACTCACTGTCCCATCACTTGAATTGTCTTTCTTTGGGAGACAGAAATGATTTGTCTGCTGGAGTCTATGGTGTGAGGAGTGCAGATTCTCCCACCATTGCTGATCTTGGTCTCTCCAACCGTGTCTTCAGGTGCTAGGACAAGATGATCTCCTGGGGCTTCTCTGCTAGGAAAATTTATAATTTCAATGGAAGCACAGGAGAGAGGTCAATTTCAGGTATTGGAGTCAAACGATGTCTTCCTGTCAGTTAGCAATACTGGCTTCAATCTGCACTCCAAATTCTCCATTGGAGAGATTTTTAATCAAACTCGGAAAAATATTCTCCTAAGTCTTGTTTTTATTGTTCCTACCCTGTCTGAATGAATGGAGTTTTCTACATCCCAGTCCGTGGCTGTGGAATCCTCCATCTCTGTCTCTTGTGACTGTGGAGCCAATTCTAAGCATCCCTGAGGCTCTGGGCATGGGCAAGTGTGGCCAGAGAAGGAAACTTCTGCGACAGGTGGGGGCGGGGGCTGGACGCCCTCAGAGCCCCCTCTGGGAGGACAATGCTTCCTTCTTCTCCCCATTTAATGTATACATATAGGTCCTTTCTCCCAAAAGTTCTTGCCGAGCCCATGGAAATCACATATTCTCTCTGGATCTTGACCTGTGTTGAACATCAGTGTGATTCTAGTGAAAAACCTCAAACCCTTGCCCTGGTCAGTGTGGCTCAGTTGGTTGGAGCATAACCCCGTAACCAAAAGGTTGCGGGTTCGATTCTCAGTCAGGGCACATGCCTAGGTTGCGGGTTCGATCCCCAGTCCGGTCTGGCGCGTACTGGAAGGCAATCAATCGATGCTTTTCTCTCGCATCGATGTTTCACTCTCCCTTCCTGTCTCCCTTCCTCTCTCTCTCTAAAAGCAATGGAAAAATGAAAAAAATGTCCTCAGGTGAGGATAAAAAACGAAAAAAACAAAGAAAAACCTCAAACCCAGCCCCAAACTTCCCTGTGTCACACACAGTTCAAACCCACACTGCTTACACTTTGGATTGCCTCTCATCGGTCCACTCCTGCTTTGTGCTCTGGAGAGCTTGTGTCTTCTGCTCATCCACTTGGACATAGTCTACTCTTTGTTCTTCTGAAAGAAGTTTCTGAAGGGGGAGAATGAAAAGGTTTTCATTACATTGAATTAAAATTCAGGAAAAGGTCAGAACTTCTATGGTAGATTATAGTGTTAAGTATTTGCTGCCTCTTTGTTCTGGGTCATTCACTGCAGGACAGTTATTATACTTTGTGTGTACGTGTATGAATATCTCTTCACCCCTGTTCCCTTCAACTTTACTCTAGCCATCTGACTTGCTTTGACCAATATAATGTGAGTGGAAGTGGCACAAGCCAATCCTATAGAGAAAAGAGGCATCTTGTGATTCTGCAATCTCTTTTTTCCCTTCCAGGAGATCAGCATGCCTCAGATGGAGTTGCTCCTTCTGCCTGGACTGTGGATTGAAGATGGCCTGGAACACCAAGATGCTTGCCTGTAGTGGATTGTCCCACTAGCAACAACTGAAAAAGCCTTCTCTGTTGCAAGACACTGAGATTTGGGGGTTGTTTGTCTTGATTGCGTAGCCTACCAAAACTGACTAATGCACCTTTTTATTTATTGGTCTCATCTTTCTGACAAGTTCTAAACTGGAGTATCAGTTCAGGTTTTTGGAATGAAATTAAATGTAAAGGAGAAATGGGAATTCATTTGGCAAAAGGGAAGGGAAACCTTCTAGCCTTTTTGTTTCTCGCGCACACACACACACACACACACACACACACACACACACACCATACTGTATATTGTTTGGCAAGTTGTTTTTCTCATCAAACAATGCATTGTTAGATGTAATTTAGAATATGACCATCCCTTGCTCAAAAATATTTAGCTGTTATACACTGCTTACAATTCATTCATTCCATGGCTCTCACTAGTGGGTGACACTAGTTAATGGCTAGCATCACTTACATATATTAATTCATTTAATCCTCACCACAGGCATCAACGTAGGTGTTATCCTTTCTGATCCCCACATTACAGACAATACTACCCAAGAGAGTTGAAACAGCCCGCCTGGCCTTTTAGGCCTTTTACTGAGGGGTTCCAATTCCAACTGAGAGTTCCTGTCACCGATCTCCTGTCTAGCCACAGTAAACTATGACTTCCTCTCTAAGCAGACCTTTCTGATGCCTGAAGTGCCCTTTACCTCACCCTCTTTTCTGTCAGAGAAATTTTTCTGTAAACTTTATGATCCAAGTTTTGAAAGGCCTGAATACTACATACATGTATGTGTATACAGGCAGACCTTGAAGATATTGCAGGTTCAGTTCCAGAACATTGCAATAAAGTATCACCATAAAGTGGGTCTTGCCTAAAATGCAACATCTGTGGAGCATAAGAAAGCAAAGCACTATAAAACATGTATACCTATACATCTAAAGAACATACCCTAGGGGGAATACAGCAGGCTTTCCGGGAGGCAGAAACAGGGTTGATTTTAATATTCTTCACTGTACATGCCTGAATGTTTAAGACTTTTCAAAGAGGACATGCATGGTTGAACCATCAGAAAAATCTAAACAGAAATGAAATCTCCTAGGAATTCTCAGACACAAAGTCCTTCCTACCTGCTGTACAGGGGCTGGTGATGCTGAATTGAAGTCCAGGGCTAAATAATCTAGGCTGAATTTCTTTGTCAACATCACAGAACCACTGACTGTTCGGTGTTGCCCCTAGAAACCAAAATCACAGGACTCAGGTTAACAATGTCTGCCCAGGCTGCCCAAGGGAAGGAGGGTAAGCTGTATCCTCACTTGAACAGCTGCTGTCAGATCATAACAGACTAGTCTGGTGAGACCTGTGCAGTTCATCCTGCATGTCGGAGTAAGAGGAAGCATTTGAAACGCAAAATAGCCAATTCAGTCTTCACATGAAGCTACACCTTTATTCACCATGAAACAGTTGGCCAAAATCTCCCTCAAGAAGAATTTGTTTTATAGATCTGATAAGCCCGTGATACCTTAGAGATTAAATCCTGAAAAGATCAATAAAACTTATTAAAGTTCTAGTGAAATCACCTCAAGTGCATTTGAAGGTACTTGATACAACACAATGATAAGATGTGTGTAATATTACCCGTGGACTCACCACCAGCCTCACAAACGGGATACCACTGACACCTTTGAAGTGCCTGTTCCCCTTCTACTACCTCTTTCTCTCCCACCAAAAGGTAAGTACTATTCTGAATTTTGTGTTTACTACACTGTTTCTTTTTACATGTGGTTTTATGAGTGTGTAAGTATCCTTAAATCACAAATTATTTAGTTTTGCCTGTTTTGAACTTCTATCAATAGAACTGTATGGTATGTATTTTTGGTGGCTTCAATTTTTGTTTCATACTACATAGTTCACATTCACCCTTATCAATGCAGAAGCCCTATTTCATTCATTTTCATTGGAATAGATAATTTCATTGCATGATTTATTTAACTGTTTCACTACCAATGACATCTGAGTTGCTTCCAGTTTGGGGCTCTTATAAGATGGTGCCACGAGCATTTACACACCTGCAGAAGAATTTCTGGGGTGTGTAGCTGACAACAGAATTATCTTCTATTTCTATCCAACAGAGTATTAGAAAGAAATTAGGCAAGAAAAAGAAATAAAATACATCCAAACTGGAAAATAAGAAGCAAAATAATCTGTTTGCTGATAACATGGTCTTATTATATGTAGAAAATTCTAAGGATTCCACTAAAAAAAGTTAATAATAAACTAAAAATAAACAAACTCAACAAGGATACAAGGTGAACACCCAAAATTTGGTTGCATTTCTATATACTAACAATGAGCAATTTAAAAAGGAAATTAAGAAAACCATATAATTTAAAAGAGCATCAAAAAGAATAAAATATTTAGGAGTAAATTTAACCAAGGAAACAAAGACTTGTACAGTGAAAACTGTAAAACACTGCTGAAAGAAAGTAAAGCACACATTAAAAAAAATGAAACAACACCCTATGTTCATGGATTGGAAGATTTAACTATTGTTAAGATTACATTAACCAGGAACTTCTGCTTAAGATGGAGGCGTAGATAAACATGCCTTGTCTCCTCGCATAACTACAGAAAAAAATTACAACTAGACTATAAAACAAGTATCACCCAGAAATGTCTGAAAACTGAGCTCTATGGAAGTCCAACAACCAAGGATTTAAAGAAGCCACATTCACCCAGATGGGCAGGAGGGGCAGAGATGTGGAGAAGCACAGAGAGGCGACAGAGACACAGAGTGGCACAGAAAGGAGTGGAGATGTGGAATGAGTGGTCCCCATATCCACATGTGGGGGATAAAAATCAGGAGGGATACCTTGGGAGTGAGGGATCCCAGCCCCACACCAGACAACCCAGCCCTGGGTTCCAGTGCCAGGAAGTTAAAGCCCCATAACTTCTGGCTGTAAAACTCAGTAGGGGTTGGGGCAGAAGAAACAGCAGGATTCACAGGAGACTCCTCTTAAAGGGCCCACAATGGTCTTAGGACTTACATAGATCAACCCCTCTGGGATTCAGCACCAGAGTAACAGCTCGAAGTGGCATATGGGGAGAAATTGAGGGGACTGGAATAAGAGTGAGTGCCAGGAGACGGCATCTTCCCAGGCAAATCTCCAGAGGTGAGGCAGCAGCATTGTCCCCTAACTGAGCCCTCCCCAACACAGAGCCATAGAGCAACAATATGGGTTGCCCTGCCTTTGCAATTACCTGAGGCTCCACCCCATACAACTTACAGGTGCATTTTTCTTCAATAGGCTACGCTACTAAGACAGAGAGTCAAAGCAACTCTACCTAATACATAGAAACAAATACAGGGAGGCTGCCAAAATGAGCAGACAAAGAAATATGGCCCATATGAAAGGACAGAGCAAAACTCCAGAAAAAGAACTAAATGAAATGGAGATAAGCAATGTATCAGATGCAGAGTTTATAACACTGGTTATATGGATGCTCCAGAAACTCATTGGGTACTTTAACAGCATAAAAGACTCAGGCGGAAATGAAGGTTACATTAAGTGAAATAAAAAAAAAATCTGCAGGGAACCAACAGTGGAGGGGATGATGCTGAGAATCAAATCAACGATTTATAACAAAATGAAGAAAAAAGTATTCAATCAGAAGAGCGAGAAAAAAAGAATCCAAAAAAAAAAAAAACACAACAAACAAACAAAACCCAACCTAAAACTAAGGATAGATCAAGGAGCCTCTGGGACATTTTCAGATGTACCAACATCTGAATCATAGGGGTGCCAGAAGGAGAAGAGGAGGAGCAAGAAATTGAAAACTTACTTGAAAAAATAGTGAAAGAAAACTTCCTTAATTTGGTGAAGGAAATAGACATACAAGTCCAGGAAGCAGAGTCCCAAACAAGATGGACCTAAAGAGGACCATACCAAGACACATCATAATTAAAATGCTAAAGATAAAGAGAGAATCTTAAAAGCAGCAAGAGAAAAGAAGTTAGTTGCCTACAAGGGAGTTACCATAAGACTGTCAGCTGACTTCTCAAAAGCAACTTTACAGGCAAGAAGAGATATGGTAAGAAGTATTCAAAGTGATGAAGAGCAAGGGCCTACAACCTAGATTACTCTATACAGGAAAACTATCTTTTAGAATTGAAGGGCAGATAAAGTGCCTCCTAGACAAGGTAAAGCTAAAGGAGTTCACCATTGCCAAGCCATTATTGTATGAAATGTTAAAGGGAATTATATAAGAAAAAGAAGCATTGGCTAGTGTGGCTTACTGGATTGAGTGCCAACCTGCGAACCAAAGGGTTGCTGGTTCGATTCCTAGTCAGGGCACATGCCTGGGTTGCAGGCCAGGTCCCTGGTGGGGAGTGCACGAGAGGCAGTTATGTTTCACACATTGATATTTCTCTCTTCCTCTTTCTCCCTCCCTTCCCCTCTGTCTAAAAATAAATAAATGAAATCTTTTTAAAAAAAACTATTTAAAAAAAAAGCAGATCAAAACTATGAACATTAAAATGGCAATAAATTCACAACTATCAACAATTGAATCTAAAAAACAAATTGCGCACAACATGCAGAACAGAAACAGAATCATAGATATGGAGATCATTGGGAGGGTTATTCAGTTGGGAGGGGGAAGAGGGAGAATGGGGGAAAAGGTTCTGGGATTAAGAAGTACAAGTTGGTGGCTACAAAATAGGGGGATGTTAAGAACAGTATAGGAAATGGAGAAGCCAAAGAGCTTATATACATGACCCATGGACATGAACTAAGATGGGGGGGGTTTTGGAGGGAATTGGGGCGCCAGGTGGAGGCGGCCAAGGGGGGAAAATTGGGACAATTGTAATAGCATAATCAATAAAATATACTTTAAAAAAAGATTACAACATTACCAAAGCAATCCACAGATTCAAAGTGTTCTCCATCAAAATTTCAATGACATTTTGTGCAGAAATAGGAAAACCCATCCTAAAATTTACATGGAATCTCAAGTAACCCTGGATAGCCAAATCAATCTTGAAAAATAAGAACAAAGTTGAAGGACTCACATTTCCTGATTTTGAAACTTGCTATAAAGCTATAGTAATCAAAACAGTATCACACTGTGGGGAGGAGACACATAGGCCAAAAGCAGAGAATAAAAGAGTCCAGAAACAACTTTCACAATTATGGACAACTAATTTTCAATGATGGTGCCAAGACCAGTGGGAAAAGGGTAATCTTTCCAACAAATAATGTAGGGAAAACTGAATATCCATATGCAAAAGAATGAAGCTGGACCCTATGCAAAAACCAGCTCAAAAGAGACCTCAACATAAAAGCTAAAACTATAAAACTCTTAGAAGGAAACATAAAGAAAAACTTTATGACATTGGATTTGGCAATGATTTATTGGATATAACATGAAAACCACAGGCAATATGAGAAAAATATTGACTTCATCAAAATTAAAAACTTTTATGTAGCCCTAGCCAGTATGGGTCAGTTGGTTGGGAATCATCCTGCAAACCAAAAGCTCACTGGTTCCATTCCCAGCCAGGGAACCTACATGGCTGGGTTGCAGTTTCAGTCCCCAGTCATGGCAAGAGGCAACCAATCAATGTTTCTCTTTCACATCAATGTTTTTCTCCCCCTTTTTCTCTCTCTCTCTTCCATTCTCTCTGGAATCAATTTAAAAAACACTTTTGTGCATATAAGGGCACTATCAAGAGAATGAAAAGACAACCCAAGGAATGGGGACAAATATTTGCAAATCATCTGATAAGATGTTAATATCCATAATATTTTTTTTAAAATGTATACAACTCAACATCAAAAACAAACAACCCAATTGAAAATGGGTAAAGGACTTGGTTAGACATTTCTCCAAAGATATTCAAATGACCATTAAGCACATGAAAAGATGTTTAACATCACTAGTCATTAGGGAAATGCAAATAAAAACCACAATGAGATACCACTTCACATATATTAAGATGGCAATTATACAAAACAAACAAAAAATGGGAAATAACAAGCGTTAGTGAGAATGTAGAGAAATTGAAACCATTTTGCATTGCTGTTGGGAATATAAAATGGTTTGGTCACTGGAGGACAGTTTGGTGGTTCCTCAAAAGTTAAACAAATTACCATGCGATTCCGTAATTCCACCTCTAGGTATATATCTGAAAGAATCAAAAGCAAATATTCAAACAGATACTTGTACACCAATGTTGATAGCAGCATTATTCATAATAGCCAACAAGTAGAAACAACCCAATTGTCTACCAACAGACAAGCAGATAAATAAAAGGTGATGTGTATATACAATGGAGTATTAGTCTTTAAAAAAAAATTGAAGTTTTGCTCCAACTGGTGTGGCTCCATGGGTTGGGCATTGTCCTGCAAACTGAAAGGACACTGTTTCGACTCCCAGTCAGGCCACATGCCTGGGTTGCAGGCCAGGTCCCTGGTTGGGGGCGCACAAGAGGCAACTGACCAATGTTTCTCTGTCACATCAATGTTTCTCTCCCTTTCTTTTTTTATTATTTCTTTTTACTTTTATTTTTTTAAAGATTTTATTTATTTATTTTTAGTGAGGGGAAGGGAAGGAGAAAGAGAGGGAGAGAAACATCAATGTGTGGTTGCATTTCGCATGCCCCGTGCTGGGGACCTGGCCTGCAACCCAGGCATGTGCCCTACACAGGGAATCAAACCAGACACTCTTTGGTTCACAGGCTGGCACTCCATCCACTGAGCCACACCAGCTAGGGGGTCTCTCCCTTTTTTCTACCTCCCTTCCCCTCTCTCTAAAAATAAATAAAATATTTTAAAAAATGAAATTCTGATATATGCTACAATATGGATGAATCTTAAAAACACTAAGCTAACGGAAAGAAGGCAGACACAAAAGGCCAAATATTGTATAATTCTACTTACATGAGGTACCTAGAATAGGCAAATTTACAAAGACATAAAGCAGAACAGAGGTTACCAGGGGCTCACTGGTCTTTCTCACAAGCTCAAAGATCATAAATGAACTGCTAGTGTCTGGAATGACTATGCACTTGCTTCTATTACATTATAGATTCACTTCCCTTTTCTGTTCTCTGGAGACAGAGCACAGCTGGTCAAGCATCATTTATAAGAATGTTTTCTTCTACAAGTTTCCCAAGGGCCATTACCAAGTGTGAAAAACATTGGGAAGATCACAGCAGATTTGTATATGAGTCACTTGCCATCTGCATATGGTTAAGTGCACTTACAGAGATTTTTATCAAATAGAAAGGCAAAATAAAGCATTTAATTACTGCTTCACTGGAGATTACTGTTTTCAGTTTTTGAACTGCCTATTATCCTCATGTATAGGAGGGAAGAATTGTCTTCTCAAAAATATATATAAGGGGGGTAGGAGGGGCAGGGGAGAGCAACAGGGGAAAATTGGGACAACTGTAATAGAACAACAATAAAAAAAAGGACATATAGTCTTGAACACTGTCCTTCTAAGATGTCTTTTCAAAATTTCATAGTTCAAACAGCGATGCTCTCTAGAGAATTATCTCCAAAGTTCCTACATTCAAAAACTACAGAATGGGCACAGGTCTGACTAAACGCCTGATAATTCCCAGAGGTGTTAAAAGCCTCTTACTCTTTTCAAAACCCATGCTCTCAAATAGAATCCAAGGTAAAGAGAATAGAAGGGATATGAGAGGGCAGGAGGGAGAGATTAGGACTAGGACTGTAAATGGTTAATCATGAACAGAAATGTCAGGTCTCTATCCACTAAGGTCTACAGAAAGACCCTATAACAGGAGGTCTTCAGAGACTAAGACACATCCAAAGCCCAGGGCACCGTACCCCAACCCCCTCAATGGGAGTCTAAGTGATTCATCCTTTGGAAAGGTTCAGAGGCAATTAGGGCAGGGCCACCAAGTGGTCTGGTGCAAGGAACCATCCAGTATGTGTTTTCACAGCTTAGATTCTGGACATCCAGGGAACTCCAAATCTATTGGGGTCAAACAGAACACCACAGCCCAGGTGAAAAGAAGTGCTGACACTGCTATTGTCCCAATACACATGCCTAAACCTTGGGATCTGTTGTACTACTGTGGCCTCAAAATGGTACAAAGAACTCAATATTGCAGGGAAAAAACCTACCTTCAAATCAATTTGTTTGCAGTCTAGAGAACACTGTCACCTGATATGACAACCAAGTGATTATATTAAGATTGTATGGGGTTTTCCAAAGTTTATGTTTCCTTTATAATAAACTCATAAGAATATACATTAGGGTAAAGAATAAGAAAAGTATGAAAAATATAGGATTACCACTTGGGTGTTGCTTTTTTCCTCTTCTCTGGAAACAGAATTGGCAAAAAATCTTCCAGAATTAATACCATTTCTTTCTGGAGAGAGAAAACTGGTCCGATTGCTAAGAACAAAAATATAGATGAGGTCAAAGCAATGTCTTACAGCTGCTCTGAAAGTCAGCCAGGAACTGACATGGGCCCTGTGGGGTTTCAGCCCTCCCCTTCCAGATACAACTTCCTTCCGGCCAAAGCAATTCTTAAAGCAATAGAGACTGCCCAGCAGCTTCTGTCCTACTCTGGCACAAATGACTCCCAAATCTCAAAGGCTACTTTTTTTCCAGGTCCTCCATGTGACACAGCTCATGAGCTTTCTAGAAACAGACCAGGGCTTCAGATCATTTAGGAAAAAACCCGCTTCTTTGGGGCTCTCTTGTTTCCATTCAACGTAACCAGGGCCAATCCTCTGATGGAATGAGGACAAGACTGCAAATCACCTTTCATCCTTCTCTTCAGTCAGAAGCTGTAAATAGAGCTCATTGCAGAATTCTGCTTTACAAAGTGATTGTGTCCTGTGGCATTTAGAGTGAACCAAGAAACTCCTGGGTGAGGCTCAGGACTCTGAAAATGCAACATCTAAAAGGTGAGATGAGAGAGTGCAGACACATTTTGGGGATTGTCTAGCAAGCCCATGAGCCATTCCTCTTTCTCTGAGAATGCCCTTCACCTACCCTGTTCACAAAGATGAGTTTCTGGAAGCCATGTTGGTACCACTGGGCCTCCCTTGGGCGATAGCTGATGCCACTCATGCTGGCGCGATACAATTCCCTCTCCCAAGAATTGTGAATTTGGATTGAAAAACAGCCTGTCTCTGTTGATACTGGAATTGTAGCATGTAAATAAGCTCAGGCTCTATGTTACTGCTATTTTTGGCCATGAGGATTGAGTAGTAAAGAGAAGAGTTCTCCAAAGGAAGAGGAATGAGCAAATGTGAAGAGAGAAGTAGACATGAGAGATGAAGAGAGATTACCTAGATTTCCAACAGCACTCTCCTTCCTGATTCTGGTATCTTGGGAGGCTCAGTTAGTTATATTCCTTCCTCTTGGGATCATAAACTCTGTCTCTTCTTTTGCTTAAGCTAGATCAAGTGAGCTTCAACTACATTTACTCAAAGAGACTTAACCAACACTGGGAGTGTTGGTGCTGGATGAGGACCCTTTGAGCAAGCAGAGACTTACCAAGGCGCAGTGTGGGTCCTGGTTAGAGATGCATGTTCCCGGATGGTAGAAAGGTTTTTCATATCTAGAGGAGGTGATCGTGCTACAAGATAACACACAATATCCAGCTGGGTAAGTTCTCAGGAGTTCAAGGCCAGAATCAAAAGACTGTAAAACTATGACATTCTACTTACCTAGCACATCAAATCCAAATTTACTAATAAGCAGCATTGACGATGAGTATAAATTTCACTGTCCTACTCTTTCCTGACTCCCAAGTTGTAGGGAGAGGGCAACTAATGAGCAAATGGTCACATTACCAGCTGGAAGTAGCAACAATGAGGTGATATGTTTAGTCAATATAAAATTATAAGAACTCATTATATGTCAGGTATATGGTTCTAGGTGTTAGAGACATAGTATGAATAGAACAGATGCAAGTCTTTGACTTTATGGAATGCCAATGCCTATTTCACACTTGACATGTCCAGAATTGAAACTTTACCTTTATCACCCAGATTCTAGTCTTCTGCACCTCCAGTTCATTGTCTAGCTGATGGTCTTTCTGCCTAGAATATTCTTCTCCATCTCTCTGCCTGGTTAGTTATCTTTGGATCTCAGCTCAATGTCCCCTGCTTAGGAAGGCCTTCTTTGACCTCCAGACAAGATCGGACTCCACATCATGGACTCTCATGAGTTCCTGTACTTACCCTTTAAAGCACTGTCCCCAGTTTGTGATTATACATTCACCTGTAATTATCTGATTCAGGTCTAGACTTATGTGCTCTGAGAGGACAGGGGTTCTTCTGATTTTTCATTACAACAGCCTTGGCATCTAGAGAATCACTTGGCACCTGACCCTTCTTAATCCACTCCAATAGCCCAACTCACTGAGTTGGTCAGGCATGTATTCCTATATCACTGCTTTGACCAGGTTGCTTTTATATCTTTCCTCCACTAGACTATGTGGGTAGAGACTGTTTATAACTCCCCTCTATATCACCAGAGCCTAGTACAGTGACTTCTTGTTGCTCAATCATCATCCCAGGAGCCTCAGACCTGGGCAAGGTAGTGACCTGGAAAGAGCATGATAGTCATATAGTCACTGGGGAGGAGGTCTTTCCTGGTGGCATGACATTCACCAGTCACCTCCTGGCTTTGCTATCTTCCTTCTCCCTGTTGGGCCTCAAGATCCATCCCTGCATCCACACCTGTCAGAAAACCAGCACCTCCTGGCCCAAGTATGCACCTTCACACCCACCCAGTGAATCTCTAATCTCATGTCCATTCAACATTTTCATGCCTCTGATCAGCAGGTCCTGCAGAGCTAGCTGCACTGTCCAATATGGTAGGCACAGGCCACACGTGGCTATTTAAATATAAATTTATTAAAATTAAATACAACTTAAAATTCAGTTCCTCAATTGCACTAGCCACATTTCAAATGTTCCATATTTACATTTCTATCATCACAAAAAATTTTGCTGGACAGCACTGCTACAGAAGTTTAACTGAACAGAACAATATTTACCTCAAAGTTACAGGTCCCTGTTAGATTGTTTCTGACCAGAATGAATGGTTATTTCCTCTGAACCTCCTAAGACAGGGCCTGTTCTATTTAGTACAGACTTCATCATTTTTCTTCTTTTTCTAGATGTCTTTTATATATCTCTTTTTCCTCTCAAACTGAAGAACCCTTCTTGCTTCCTCATCTTTGCATCCTGCTCAGTTCCCAGAACAGCACTATACACACAGCAATCAGCAAACACATTGTAAATGTGATTTGACTCAAACTGAACAGGCGAGACTAGCATGGACCAGAAATGAGTAATCAGACATGAGTAAGGGGCTTAGTTACTAGCTTTGGGCATGGCCACCTGAATAAGTAATTTTTCCAAAGGGCAGAGAGAGGTAGGAATGTACCAGAGGTGAGGGTCAGAGATCACAGTCCTTGTACCAAATATTTCCTTGGAATCACATAGCCTTACTGGGCAGATGATGGTGGGCAAGAATGAAGTTAGAAAGTTGCTTTGACCTGCTTTTCCTCTTTCTTTCTTCTCCTTTCTCCCTGCCTGTCCAAGATGCTTAGCAGACCCAGAGAAGCTGCCTGACAGCAATGCAGAAATTTTAAGGAGCTCTATGCATATAGGAGCCAGACTGCTCATTGCCAAAGTCTTCTCCCATCTCAAACACCTCAGCTGACAGGCATGTACCGGGAACTGAGTGATAAGTCTGACATTCAGAAATTAGTGAAAGGTCATTCTTGACTTCCTTATAGGAAGAGGGCACTGTGATTACATTCAAGTGCTGTTTAAATGAAGAGATGCCAGGTGTGTTCCATTCCAATCCATCAACACATATTTCAGGGCCTTTGATTGGGAAGCAGCTGAAGATGAGCCCTCTGGAATGAACTTGGCTTTGTAGGCTATATTTGTAGGGCTATGGTGCCTGAAAGTCCCAACTCCTTTTATCATGATAATCTGGAGTAGCAAGGTTCCCCAGCCCTACCCATTCAATTCTAGCCATTTCTCCTTACCCTTAAACTTCCCAGCCCTCTAGGATGGTTTCTCTAGTGTTTCCTTCTCAGACAGGGTGTGGAAGGAAACCTACCCATATGGTTACTCCCCTCTCCTGCACAGCAGGCCTGGTCAAATGGCTTACGTTTCCTCTGAGGCTTCAGATCTCTATTCACTGGGGGAGGTTCCATGTGTGCAGGTAGCTCAGGTAGTGGGCTGGAGATGCCTCCTGAGCTCATTGGGATGTAGTCATCAGAGCCACTCTGGGATCTGAGACCAGAGATGGCGACCAGAGGGGCCATAGGCACATAGCTGTCTTCGTCACTGGCTGAAGCTGTGGGGCATGTTGGGGAGAATCTGCATGGCTGAAAGAGAAAACGTACGGATTGGGAACCATAGTACAGTCATGGAAACTGCTACCAGAAGGCAGCCTCATCTACATATATAGTTTCAGTTGCAAATTACCCAAAAATAACACTGAACTTCCTTAGGAAAGTGAGACAAACCTCTTACTCAAGCTCTGCTTTTGGATTTACTGTGTGAAGTAGGTGACAACTCTCCTAGATCTGAGGCTGGAATACAAAGGGTTATGAATTGATGCAAGTGCTTTAAATATAAAGTGATGCCTTCAGTAGCTACCCTCAAGTCAGACAAGTATCTGGAATATTAGAACTGGCAGCATCCTTATAGAACACTACTTATTAAGTCCAGTAGTTCCCAGACAAATACAAACCTTAAGGGGAGACTGGAACGGTCCTCAGATATTCAGACTTCAAGGGAATGTATATAGGTCAGGCTATTTTCCTGTTAAAATTAAGGCTTAAAGGAACTCAAATGCCAAACTCACCAAATTTAAACTATGTCGCTTGTCTCGGTGTCTTAAGGATTGGCCTTCTACGTCAGCTGCAAGAAACAAGGTGAGGCGGTGAGAAATGAAGGACTACATCAATTTAAACTATGGTCCAAGATCCTATGCCCCTCAGGGTCCTGCCCTCAGTTCTGGAGAAGCAGAGAAACATAATACAGTTTCTATATGCAATGCTGGCTAGTAAGTCTAGTTGGGCAGTCAGAACACATGGAAATAAGACCAGATTTTGAATAAGTTTCCGTATGATAGATATAGCAAGTAATTAACAAGTGCTTGTTGCATGAATTTTCTGAGCTTGAGATGGTATAGATAGAACTGGAGATTTGAGAAGAGAGATGGTGTGAGACATCCCCTGTGATGATCAGGAGAATAAGGTGAACAGAGAAGCTGAGCAGCATTTAAGGCTCATTTGAGATCTGTGACCATGAATTGGTGACTGTGCCTTTCTGCAACAATAGTTAGCTACTTCAGGTGTAGGGATGGAGGGAGAGGAAAGGTGAATAACTACAGGACTAGAAACTTGTCAGATAGCTTTGACAAACAGTGTTGACATAGAAGTTTAGAATTAATAGTTGGATTGAAAGAGATGTCCATAAAAAATGAAGTTGGTGATCAACATGGAGTTTTTGACTTTTTATTGTGCTAAGAAAGAATATTAAGAACAAAACCCATACTCATACAATCACCATTATTTAACAAAAAGATATTAAAATGTTTTACAACTATACAAAATAAAAATAAGTAAAAAAGAAAGAGGAGATGTCTACAAGGCAGCAAGATATGGGGGTCTAGACTCCAGTGAGACATAATTTTGTGGAATTAGCAGCTTAAAGATGGCAGTGAAAACCAGAAGACCAGATGAGATTACCTAGATTGCAAGAGTTGAGAGAAGCTTAGGTATAAAACCCTAGAGAATCCCAATATACAAAGAGCAGGAAGATGAGTGCTGGCTCGCCCTCAGAGAGTGCAACCATAGAGGAAGGAGGTAACCCAGGGGACACGGTGCCATTTGGCTTAAGGAGGGAGAGAAGAGCCAACAATGGAGACTGCTGTTGACAAGTGAGGCAAGTTCTCTTAGCATATGGGGACCAGAGCAAAATATCCCCCAAGAACCTGGAGATGTCAAAAGTCAATTGTCTCTGAGAAATAAATTAAAGACTCAACATCATCTTATTTTCGAATTATATTTTATTGATAATGCTATTATACTTGTCCCAATTTTCCCCCATTGCCCTCTTCCACCCAGCACCCTTACTCCCTCAGGCAATCCCCACAACATTGATCATGTCCATGTGTCATGTATATTAAGTTCCTTGGCTACTCCATTTCCTATACTGTACTTTACATCTCCATGGCTATTCTACAACTACCTATTTGTACTTCTTAATCCCCTCACCTCTTCACCCATTACCCAATACCTCCCCCGCAATCTGGCAACCATCAAACACTCTCAGTATACATGACTCTTTCTGTTTTTCTTGTTTGCTTAGTTTGTTTTTTAGATTCAATTGTTGATAGGTATGTATTTTTTGCCATTTTATTGCTCATAGCTTTGATCTTCTTTTTCTTAAATAAGTCCCTTCAACATTTCATATAATAATGGATTAGTGATGATGACATCCTTTAGTTTGTTCTTCTCTTGGAAGCTCTTTATCTGCCCTTCAATTCTAAAAGATAGCTTTGATGGGTAGAGCAATCTGGACTGTGGGCCCCTGCTTTTTATGACTGAATATTTCTTGCCAGTCCCTTCTAGCCTCCAAAGTTTCTTTTGGAAATCTGCTGACAGTCCTATGGGGACCCCCTTATAGGTTACTACCTGATTTTCCCTTGCTGTTTTTAAGATTCTCTCTGTATCATTAAACTTTGGCATTTTAATTATGATGTGCCTTGGAGTTGGCCTCTTTGTATTCGTATTGTTTGGGACTCTCAGTGCTTCCTAGACTTGCATGTCTATTTCCTTCACCAAATTAGGGAAGTTTTCTTTCACTGTTTTTTCAAATAGATTTTCAATTTCTTCCTCTTTTTCTTCTCCTTCTTGCACCTCTAATTTGTAAATGTTGCCCTAGAGGCTGCTTACACTATCCTTGGTTTTTTTGGAATCTTTTTCTTTCTTGTTGTTCTCATTGTTTCTTTTTGCTTTCTTATGTTCCAAATCATTGATTTGATCCTTGGCTACATTGATTCTCCTGTTCTTTCCCTGTAAATTATTCTTTATTTTAATTAATTATTTCTTCTTTTCTGGCTGGATCTTTTTCTATGCTGTTGAGGTCCTTGCTAGCTTCCTTGAGCATCCTTATAACCAGTGTTGTGAACTCTGCATCTGATAGATTGCTTATCTCCATTTTGTTTAGTTCTTTTTCTGGAGTTTTGTTGTATTCTCTCATTTGGGCCATGTATCTGTCTCTTCATTTTGCCAGCCTTTCTGTGTTTGTTTCTATGTATTAGGTAGAGTTGCTTTGACTCTGTGTCTTCGTTGTGTAGCCTATTGTAGTAGGTGTCCTGTAGGGTCCAGTGGCACAGCCTCCTCTATTGCTTAAGCTGGGTACTCGAGGTGTGCCCTTTTTGTAGCTGAGCCTTGATTGCTGTTGGCAGGTAAATGAAAGAGATTTACCCAGGTCAGTCAGCTGCCAGGGGCTGGCTGTGGCCACTGACCGCCAACCTCCGCCATCCGTGGAGGGTCAGCTGTGCAGGGTCAGAGTGGTGGTGCTCTGACATGGTCTGTAGCTGATCACTGGATGCACAGGCTCAAGGGTGTCCTGGGTGGTGCAGGCCAAGGTCTGCCTCCACCTGTGTTCTGTCCAGGGCCACCCCGCCTGAGTTATAAAGCAATCTTGAGATGGCTGCTACTTGTGCTGGGTTTGAAGATTCCTGGGTGAAGCCAAGTTGTCAATCTAGGCTGGTTGCTGTTAGTGCTGGGCCCAGGGCCACTTTGCCAAGATGTATGGAGGCTGGGGGTTCACTGAGGTCAGCCGTTGCTTGTTTGAGAAGATTTAGGGAGATGTGAAGCATGAGCCAAGACTAGCCATTCATATGGAAAAGACACTGCTAACAGCTTGGGTGGGCACATAAGTTGGTTGTGGCAGTTTCAGGGGATCTCCAGGGTGGGGCAAACAGTGTGAGGTGGGTTGATGGAGTTTCAGATATAGCACCTATCCACCAGCTCTGTGCTCTGTAAGGGGAAGGTTCAGAAAAGGGACAATGGCCTTTGCTTGCCTTTCTGTCTGGGAGAAAGCTGTCCCCCTGCTCTTGCCTTGATGTAAGACACTTCATTTCCTCTCTGTGTACCACTGGTGACTTTCAAGCTGCTACTCAGGTGCTGGAGCTCAAAGGGAGTAAGTCTGAGTAGGTGTCTATGTATGGGTTCTTTAAGGGGAACTGCTTGGGACCCCAGAAGTTTCTTCCAGCGACTCGATCCCTGCTGGGTTTTGCAGCCAGAAGTTATGGGGACTCATCTTCCTGGCACTGGAACCCTGGACAGGGGAGTCTGGTGTTTAATTTTGTAGTTGTCAGACTCCAATTCAACGTGGTTTCTGACAGTTCTGAGTGATAGTTGTTCTATAGTTGTAATTTTAGTTGTACTTTTCATATGGTTATATGAGGAAGTGAGCTGTATTTATCTATGCTGCCATCTTGACCAGAAGTCAGCATCATCTTAAATTGAGAGAATAACTCCCAACTCAGAAAGATGTGATGGAGATTGATGGAATTAAGAATATGTATTAGAGATCCAAGATGGCAGAAGAGTTAAGTGAAAGCTACACTAATGTCCTCCCAGGACCAACCAATCTGATATTACAACTAAATTATAGAGAAATCATCTTGAATAACCAACTGAACACTAGCTGGAGAGACTTACAACCATAGACTGACAGAAAAAACCATGTCAGCACAACGTGACTGGAAGGGATGGTAGAAGAGATGTGAGAAGACTAGCTGTGCTCCGACAGGTGGCAGCTGAAGTGCCAGAGAGATATTTCAGTGGTCATGGGCCCCCTGAGAAGTGTGGGGACTAAACCCCAAGCTGGGCTCCCCAGCCTAAAGCACCAGAGCCAGAAAGGAACCCATATAACACCCAGCTGTGAAAAGCAGCAGGTGTTCTATCAGCCAGGAAGAGACAGCTGAGATGTAAAGAGCCTTTTAAAGGGCCAAAGCAAAAAACTTCTTTTGCAGCCACTTACCCTGGGTGCCGGCAAAGGGAGGGCAGAGTGGATTAGAGATGCTTGAGGAGAGATAGTGGTTGGTGGCTCTGGGGAGAGAACTGAGGGAAAAGCCTCCAGGATCCATGTGTTGAGTCATTCCCCAAACTGCAGGAGCCAGCCCTCTCAGGTAGACCACTTCTCTCTGAATGGCATCAGCCTGATGGGGAAGCAATAGCCCATCCTGCAGGAATTATGCTGCCACACCCTGTGGTACTTAAGCCTGACTGCTAGTTAAGAGTGATTAGATTAACAGCTGATCATATTAACGGCTGATCAATTTAATATATAAGGTGAAAAATACAAAGAAGCAGCCAAAATAGGAAGATGAAGAAACAGACCCCAAATGAAAGAACACAATTTCAAAAAGAACTAAATGAAATACAAATAAGCAGTTAATCAGATAGAGAGTTTATAGTAATGATTATAAGGATACTCAACAGCATGAAAAAAGACATAGAAGCCATAAAAAAGGACCAGTTAAAAATAAAGAATGCAATATCTGAAATAAATTACACACTGTAAGGAATAAACAGTAGGTTAGATGAGGCAGAGGATTGATTGAATCAGTGTATTAGAAGAAAAAGTAGGAAAAAAATGAGGAAGAGCAGCAAAAAAAAAATTTAAAAAATGAGAATGTAAGAAACACCTTGGACAACCTACTGCAATAATAACAGTTGGATAACAACCTGGATAACAACAGCTGCATCATGGGAATACCAGAAGGAGAACAGAGTGAGCAAGAGATTGAGAACTTATTTTAAGAAACAATAACTGAAAACTTCCCAAAGCTGTAGAAGGAAAAAGTCACACAAGTCAAGAAGCGAAGAGTCCCGAAC